GCACATTGATTGCTCTTTGATTTTTCAAATGCTCTTTGGGTATTTCAAGATTTCAGGGGCTGGAGAGGAAATTCCAGGTATGAGCCACTGCACAAGCATCAGAGAAGGTGGAACTGTCAGTCTTGCAAGTTCCTGGAGGAAAGTAACTGAAGTGGAGCTCAGAGAAGCAGTCAGGGCCAGTTTTGAGGAAGCCCCAAGTGCCAGCTGAGGGCTGGGGCCGGTTCCTGAAGGCACTGGGGAGCCATTGAAGGTCTCAGGCAGAGGAAGGAGGAGGTCAGATCTTTTCTGAGTGGTGACCAACGTGAAGAACGGTGCAGGAGGGTGGGGGGTTGGGCAGGACAAGAGGTAGGTAGGTGTTGGGGAGCCCCTGCTTCCTGCCTGCCTGTCTAGGGGATGAGATAAGGGTCAGGGGAGGAGGGAGATGTTTGGAAGCTGCCTTCTGTCCTTGTGGCTGTTTGTCTCACATCTGTTAAGTCTCTGCTTGGCAGAAATGTTGTAGCTGTGTCCCTCTCAGGGATGTAGGTGTTTCGCTGGCGTCTCACTTATTATTCCTGGTGGTGTCCACGCCCCGGTGGGTCCCGCTGACTTCTGGCCCTGCCGGCAGCAGCCCATGGGCAGTGGAGGCGGCTGGACTTGGGAAGCTATGGCTATTTCACAGCCCCCTGAAGAGCTGGCGTTGCCCTGGGTGGGGGCAAGGCAGGGCCCACTCCTCAGGCCAGTGGAGGAAAAGAGCCCCCTCCTCAGCATGGCTGGGATGCCCCCCCCCACACCCCCCTCAAGCCCCGCATCCTGCCCTCTCTCTTCCTGACAAGTCACAGTGTGGGGAATGGGAGCCAAACCCCAAAGGGGAACCTGTTTGCAGGTACGCGGGCTCTGCCACACCCCCCTGAGGAGCAAGAAGGCGGCCCAGGCCAGCTGGTCACTGGTGGGGGCTACAGGGGCCGGACCTCAGGGGACACCACCCGGAGGCCTTGTGAGTGGGACGGCAGGTTGGAGGCCACCCGGAAGGTCCAG